CCATTACCTCGTTGGCTCTTACCTCTGTCTACATGGGACTGAGTACCCAGGTAGACAGAGGGCCACGAGACAGGTTCCATCATACAGACTATAATCCATTACCTCGTTGGCTCTTACCTCTGTCTACATGGGACTGAGTACCCAGGTAGACAGAGGGCCACGAGACAGGTTCCATCATACAGACTATAACCAATTACCTCGTTGGCTCTTAATTACCTCTGTCTACTTGGGACTGAGTTCCCAGGTAGACAGAGGGCCACGAGACAGGTTCCATCATACAGACTATAATCCATTACCTCGTTGGCTCTTACCTCTGTCTACCTGGGACTGAGTTACCAGGTAGACGGAGGGCCACGAGACAGGTTCCATCATACAGACTATAATCCATTACCTCGTTGGCTCTTACCCCTTTCTACCTGGGACCGAGTTCCCATGTAGACAAAGGGCCACGAGACAGGTTCCATCATACAGACTATAATCCATTCGTTGGCTCTTACCTCTGTCTGCTTGGGACTGAGTTCCTAGATAGACAGAGAGCCACGAGACAGGTTCCATCATACAGACTATAATCCATTACCTCGTTGGCTCTTACCCCTTTCTACCTGGGACCGAGTTCCCATGTAGACAGAGGGCCACGAGACAGGTTCCATCATACAGACTATAATCCATTACCTCATTGGCTCTTACCTCTGTCTATCTGGGACTGAGTTCCCAGGTAGCTAGAGGGCCACGAGACAGGTTCCATCATACAGACTATAATCCATTACCTCGTTGGCTCTTACCTCTGGCTATCTGGGACTGAGTTCCTAGGTAGACAGAGGGCCACGAGACAGGTTCCATCATACAGACTATAATCCATTACCTTGTTGGCTCTTTGCGCACGAAACGGACCCAACCACTGATTGCACCAACATGAAACTTGAATGTTCACAGCAGTAAAGGACTATTTTTGCACAATCACATAAAAAATTAACGCACCACCATCATCCGAACACGAACCGCTGGCTCTACTTATTTCACACGTTCATAACTGTTCACATTCACTATTCTCGACTGTTCGTATAACAAGTCAAACAATCCCAGACAATAATGATAAGATCGTGATAACGTTATGTAGGTTGGTAATGGCAACTGATTCTGTGTTGGTTGAAAAAAATCTTACAAAATGAGTTGATAAAAAATGTCTTTTAGGGAATGGACAAAAATATATTGACTGAATGGGAGTTCATCTAGTTTAGTTTTAACATAAGGGGGCTAGGGGTACGGAGTAGTTCCCATTTTAGAGGAAAGGGTCCGGGGGTCATCCTCAGAAAAGTTTTAAAATTTAAGTACAAAATAGTAGATATTGTACGTAAATTTGCTTTATCAATTTTATGTGTTTCACTGCAAAAATCTAAAAATGTGGTTATAACAAGGGGTTCATAGGGGCTCTAACTGCTCTAACCCCATCCCCCAGCCCGTTGCCCAACTTGGAAGTCTTTTAGATTTTTATTAGTAGGCCTAGTCATCGTAACTTTTTCCTATATATAAACCATCTTGTGAACAGTTACAGTGTACTTTCCTCTTCTTTGTTTGAAGTTCATTGTTGATGATGATGAGTTTTTCAAAGGTTTATTGCGGTCATTTTCCATCACAGTGGTAAGAAACAATACACAACGTAATTAGACAGATTTCAGATCCCGAAACGTGTATTTTATTTTACCATTGTTATAGAGATGTCCGCAATAAAACTGTCAACAAAATGACAATGTATTGTTATAAGATAGGCCCTAAATAGCGGAGTTTATTTTAAATTTAGGCCTACGTATCAGCTGAATTCAATTTCAACACCTGTATGTCGGGAATTTGTAAGTTATTTGACTAAATTCACAAGTATTACTACCAAATGTGACAAATACTATTATATTACTTGTGTTTGCCCTATTGTATTATACCCAAAAGGGGGGGAGCGAACTGGTGTAGTGGTTAAGCACGTTTTCGGTCCCTGAGGTCCCGGGTTCAAATCCCGCCAATCACCAATAGATTCTATCTGAGTGATAATGCCGCAATCCCTAAACAGGGAGGGTTAATATTACCCTTCCATATAAAAAAAAGACGTACAGTAGGCCTATCTCTAAATAAGCAAAAAGTTTGGATTGGACCAGTTGTTAGAAAAAAATATTTATTTTAAGACTCAGAAGGCCGCTTATTACGGTAATTCAGTTAAATATGACCCACAGGTTTTACACGATTAAACACGCATGCAGACAGCCAACCGTATAAATTAACTGTTTAATTTATTACGATCGTTAAAAATCGTTGACTTGCCTGCCTACAACAAACGCTACCGATAAACTCTACCGAATTTCACTAGGAAATGTGTATGTTTTTGTTAAATTGTTACAAATCCTTTTATATAAATGCACCACTATTATGCTTTCACTTCGATTTCGTTAAGTCTTTATATAACATGTTAGGTAGGGTAGGGAAATGGCATGTGGTAACTTGAGGTTTTCAATTACATTTTGCTTTGATAAATCGATGATTATTAAGTAATAAAAACACACATGGCTACAATCTTATCCAAGAACGTTATGTAGAATATAAAAAAATCTGATGATTTACCACCACTATATTTTTATCCCGGTAAATTCACTCAATTTAAATTAATTTAGGTTGGATCCAGGAGATATTATACAACGTAAGGTTAGGTAAAACGAATTACCAAATTACAAACAAATATTGATGGAGTCGTTGGAAAAACATAATTACACTTTTGTAAGATTAATTAATATAAAAATTTAACTTATCGTTCGAATATTATTTTTAGTAATTTTTGCGTGTTTATAATTATTAAATAATAAAAAAATAATATTTGAACGATAAGTTAAATTTTTATATTTTTGTAGCCATACTAGATTTAAGAACTTTATTATTTTACTAAACTATCTCATGAACTTTAGTTAACTCGAATTTTGATGAATGTCCATCACTTGTTTACTTAAGTAGATAATTAGAGATAACAGAACGATACCGCGAATTTTAGGGGTGAAAATATCGTTTCAAAGTAAGGTAAGACAATAAGACAAACATTTTTCCTTACTAACATCTAAAACTGCGATCAATAAATGCAAAAACAAAGCAAAAAAGTGTCAAATTAAAAAGTTAAAGTAAAAAAAAAAAACTTAAAAAGGCATTTTACGACACGAAGTCAAAAAAGGGGGTGTAGAGAAGGGTTAGAGGCACAAGGTCAAATCTGTTTACAGAACACAAAAGTTATTAGCGGTTTTCATCAAAAGATAAAAGCATTACTGAGAAATCGTCCGTCATGCTATCGATTATAGCTTGATGACCTGTCAATAGAAAGTAGTCAATATCTTCAGCTACTTTTGGCATTTCTCATCCTTTTCAATTTATTTGGATGCTTTGAATTATAATGGTTTGTCGCGAAATGATAAATTGCTTTTGCGATTGCAAGTGAACTTAAGAATTTTCCTAACCTAGCTTTTGTTTCTAAATAACGTTATTGTTAGAAGATGAGTGAAATGGATAGTGAAAAATATTGTTCGTAACCTCCTGTATATTGTCGGGTCATATAAAATCTTGTACGTTACACGTTACGCAAGAGCGTGTTTTCATCACTTGGTAAATTATGCAACTCGCTTCCGCTCGTTGCACAACATTCACCTGCGTGATGTAAAAACGCGCTTACTACACTTGTAAGGTAAATAGCTATTACTCAGGATAAGGATAGTACTTTTTCTACTGGGTACGTACAATTCTGAGGCGTAATTATGTTTCATATTCTTAGCAGGATAGCAATATTTGTATAGAGCATAAAATAATTACTTAAGTACCCATGTAATTCACGGGTTGATTTAAAGGAAAATGTTAAAGTTCCTTCACGGAACAAAAATTATTTACACAGCAAAATGCAACAAAACAAAAAAAAATAATATACACATACTATAGGCTATCTTATTTCAGGTGTTTCATAAAATTGTCATGTTACAAATTAGGGAAAGTGTTCATCCTGTGATTTTGAATCTATATTACCACAGAGAAATAACCTCAAAATACTCTACGATTTGCTTGTTCAAATGCAATATGATATAAGCTTACAGTAGCTATAGACTGTATGATGGAACCTGGCCCCTAGCAGGGGTATGGCCAATGGTTTAAAGTTCGGGTAAGGTTATGTTTTGCTGAAGAAGCTATGGTTCTAGAGCATCCTATGGTGGGGTTTCGGCTCCCTGGACTAAAACACCACGTAAAAATGACCTGGGCTAGACCCAGGTTGTCGAAGGGATAGTAGACAGGTTCTATCATACATACTATAGTTCGTAGAACTAGTGGCATTACCGTAGAACAAAGTTATTCTGTAAAACATACCCCTTGTGGTCACCACGAGAACACACTTTTAGAAAGACATCAGAAGCAATGTCAGTTTTCCTGCTTTTCAGGGTCACAAATACCTACTAATGATATAATTATATAACAATACGAAGAACCCTGAAGCGGTATAAATTGTGGAATATTCCATGGGTGGCCAAAGGGAAGTCTTCAGATTTGTTACAAGTAATTAATGTTCCGGTAAACGCAATGAATAAAAGTCTGACTCTCAATTAAATGATGCAACACTGTCATTGATATTCATTAATTATTTTAGATAAATAGTTAAACTATATAGATAAACTATTTATCTAAGAAATGGGTACGAAGTGCAATAAATCACGATTACCGAGAGGAGAGAATGGGTTTTTAACCTCAACGAACCCTCCTTCTCATTCGAAAATTATCTTTCATAATCAGCGATGCTCGGTGCGGGGACGCACCTTAACTGTGCATCTTTGGGGGCGTTAACAGAATCAATTTTGGAATTCTGAGAATGAAAGCTGGAATAATAGTACCTTCCAAACTATAGTTTAAAACTACCAGTAAAAAGGTGTTGCCTAATCCTCCATAGTAAACTGTTAGGCTAAGACTTTTACAAACGAAACATTCAAAGTCCCAAAATTTACCGGAGTTCCTGGAAGAGCGGGACCCCCAGCAGCACACTAGGAGGGAGATGACCCACTTGAGAAGCGACGGCCTGGCACGGTGCGTGGGGGCGGAGTCCGAGGACCCGCGGCCAGAGGGGCACACGAACACAGTACAATGTCCCATCACCTTGCATCTTGGAAACACATTAGTCTAAAACACGTGGTAGACGAAGTTCTCTATCATTGACAAAAGTCCCATGCTCTCCCGCCAGTTTTGATTTTCCCTCCAAAAATCCCTTCGAAAATCGGGCGCGTCACATAACCATGGCCATCATGGCGGCCCGCTCGCCGCCACGGCAACGCTCGCACTAAAGAACATTCAGCACTTCGTGATCAATGCCATGCGCGTCGCATGACGCCCTTTCAATATTTTAGGTTTCATTTGGTCGAGAGCTTTCCTTCTTTGGTCTGTCAACTGGATTCCTGCGATCTATTATAAACAAGGTCACGGGCGTTCTTGATTGCCTATCGAATTTCGAAAGGGTTGTATTTTTTTGTATTAAGGGATTGGTGATCGGAAACCTTGTATTTGCATAATCTGGCCTCTGCGTGGAACGTGGCCAGCAAAGCAAGCGGTGAATCTGTACACAAGAACGAATATTCTGAAAAATATTAGTGGAGCGGTAGGACTCGAACCTACGACCTCACTGTTAGCGAGCCGTTCTCAGCGAGCACAGGACCGGGGGTTTTGCTACCAAATTACCTGAGTTAAATACCTTCTTGAGTAAGACGACTACGCACTTAAAAACTCTTTCTGGTTGCGTATTAGTACAGAATTGAGTAGCTAACGGACACATATATATATATTAAATATATATATTGTTCTTGAGGATTACTTGATAGAGTTATGAAAAATGAAACATGAAACAGTGGATATTTTCGTTTAATAGAAACGTTTTCAAGCAAAGAGAAATTAATGAAAAATGTAAAAATGAACAAAACAAATAAATATGAACTGTTTACAATACAGTAGTTGAAATTTGAGAACATATGATTGAGTACAAATCAAAGAAAATTAAAATTCAGCTGAGTTGAATCACTTTTTTACTATCTTAAATTAACTTTGTTTTCAGTACCAACTGGGGCCCATTTCATAATAAACTACAAGCATAGATAAAACATAGTCCCTTAGTAGATTTCCCATCCTTATGGAACAGCTGAAGCCAATTTTATTGTTAGTTCTGTCCGTTTTTCTGTAGATGTCGTGTTTTGTTTACAATTTGTTTCTTGTTATTTCAGTAATTTAAAACCTCGTTTAACCAAATATTACTATCTAATCATAAACAATAACTCGTCCACTAGCAATATAAAAAACAGTGAGACACAAATAATGAGAAACTAACCCTAAAATAATAGAAACAAATTGTAAACAAAACACGACATCTACAGAAAAACGGACAGAACTAACAATAAAATTGGCTTCAGCTGTTCCATAAGGATGGGGAATCTACTAAGGGACTATGTTTTATCTATGCTACAAGTTACAAGTTACAACTTGTAACTTCCCAGACAGCACGTGAGCTTGGACTAAACTTGGCTTTTACATATTTCTGAATTGGTGCGACAAACTTGGAGTTTGGAACCCACTGCAAATTTAAAACAGCTTTGGTTAAGTGAACTTGTGCGAATGAGCCAAAACTAAACTTGCTTTATTTACATATATAACCTGGTTGGCCAAGTCCACAATTTAAACACCCAACCAGACCCACGACAAGCTTGTTCATGTGAGTCTAAAGTGAGCAGTGCCATATGACAAAAGAATTTTCCCTCCACACCTACCCACAACACGCTCCTAAAACCTGTTTCTTTGTGCTGAACCACCATTTTTGTTGGATTTAGACTTCCTCACTCTCAGTTGTCAGTTCTCTTGGTCAGTACTCACTTATCTTAATTTGGTGTTGTGTTGTGAGTTACTCGTTTCGTTGCTAGTCGTGAGTTTAGTTTATGGTTTTGATACCAAGACGAAGCGGAGAAGAACTAAGGGAATCCTGTAAAGGTAAGATTTACACTCCTCTTATAAAATTAAGCATTGATCAAAAATATACTCGTGTTGGTTAGTCTATGATGATAAAGTAAGCTAAATTAAGCAAACGATTAATTTCATTGCATCAAGAACTCGTAGAATTTTGTTTATAGCCTAAACCTTTTGTGCTTTAATCTTTGTCATACTCAGCGCTTCACTGAATCGACAACGTCACTCACTATACACTAATCTACTGCTGAACCCTACAACAGAACAGTGCTAAATTTTTTTTAACCTTAAACCTAGTCTACAGATAAAAACAAGCCAAACCAGTATTTTACGTTGTGTGTATTCAGTAGCCTTGTTGATAAGTGTAAGTTCCTTTATAACATTCTGTAATCATCATAGCTAAAAAAAACCTATTATAGCTAAAAAAACGTCGCGAAAATTACTCAAATTTTGTGTCTAGTAAGAAATAAAAGTTTTATAACAATTTTAAAAACTAGAGTAAGTTAACACCCTGTGTTTGCAACACCAACAAATGCCAAATAATCAAATAATTCTAATAACAAATAAATATTATTTAAATAATAAATTTTAATAAAACAAATCATTCTAATGCAATTGTATTTTTTTATAGATCTTCTGAAGCATGCGGTGGAGTTGATGAATTCAGAAAAGAAGTTGAAGGTGAAGTGGAAGATAGTGGGCATTGTATTTATTATATTAATAAATTGTCTTGAAATGTGAATGTCTTGTATTTCTAAACCTAACAGATCAATTATAACCAATATTATTTTAAGGTCACTTAGGACTTATAAATAGGCTTCATTTTATTATACTGCAAATCTTTCTTGGTAAAAAATTAATTATTTTTATGTTTAAGAAAAAGGGTGGGCTAGCATATGAATGGTGTGAAACTGTTTATATGTTAAATAGGTATAAATTATACAGGGTGGGGCAGAGTGGACTCCCTGATTTGATCGGTTAACTGTATAAAAACCATACAAGATTATTACAAAAGCTTTTTATTTCTGAAATCTAAATACAATGCCATTTATTTTTCATTAAGTTTTAAAAATGATATCGTCCAGGTGAAGACCTTCACGAGCGATGCACATATTCAGCCGTTCAATGAAGTTTTCAAAAACTCTACGCAGCATATCTGGCATTATTCCAGCGATAACATCAACAATTAATTGCTTCCTTAAGGGCTTCCAAGGTCCTTGGTCGAACTTTGTAAACCTTTAGTTGCAGATTCGGTCGCCCGTACACTTGTAATCCATTTCCTTAAGGTTTTAGCATCGGGAACACTATCATGACAATTCAAACCAAACCGTCTACGAAATGCACGCTGGGTCGCCACCACACTATCCTTATTTTTAAAGAAGGTTTCGACTACAAAACCACGATGCTCGCTAGTTTACGGCATGGTGACTACTAACAATGGCGTCTTTCCCCCAACCACATGAAACCTCTCCCACTCCGCTAACTCGCGCGCACGCTCTTCAGCGACTGATTGAAACTAGGGAGTCCACTCTGCCCCACCCTGTATTACTATAGCCTATTATTGTTATTATTATTATCTTTGAACATGACAGTAATTGAAGTATATAAAACTTCGTACCAAGTTCTGAGTGAGTCTAAAGGTGTGAGCTTGTTTGTCCAAGTACAACATGTGCTAAAACCAATTCCAATATGATGAGTCTAAGCCAAGTCCAATATGAGCCTACTAAAATTGGGCTTGGGTCCCCAAGTCCCGAACAAGTCCATAATGAGCCTGTTTAATTTATCAGTGTGAGCTTGTTTACCCAAGTCCAACATGTGCTAAAACCAATTCAAATATGAGTCTAAGCCAAGTCCAATATGAGCCTACTAAAATTGGGCTTGGGTCCCCAAGTCCCGAACAAGTCTAAAATGAGCCTGCTTAATCTACTAGACCCGTTTTGTATCCATCATTCCAAGCTTAGAGTGGGTTTGTGCCCATGGGTTCACTGTAGGTTTGGGGTTGGGACTTGGGTTGGACTTGGGGAGCCAAACCCATAACAAGTTGAACAACTGCCAACTTCGGTCTCTAAAACAAGTCAAAACCAAGCCTACACACTTTGGTCCCTGAGTTTAAACCAGGCTTGGGAACTTGGGCCAATGGACTTGGAACAAGTTCCCAGCAAGCCTATTGTGCTGTTGGGGTTGTAATTTCCATTAGATTTGCATTGGGCGATCAGCTGATTTACTAATAATAATATTAGTTTGTACTTTATTATGAAATGGGCCCCTGGTGAGCCAATTCAGACTTTCTTAAGACCAGATGGTTGCATTTCTGGTTTTGATGTGAGTTTACTTTGTGAAAAGCTTTAAGGGTATAGCAGCCTTCAAAATTTTGGTTGTGGTTAGCGGCATGATAATAGATTGGTTTTCTTTTGTCTTCATGTAACTACAAAACGATAGCCTGTATTCGAACTCTTAAAGAGTTTGAAGTCTGACCAATGTATTCTTTTGGACAATGTTCACACGACAGTTGATAAATCACATTGTAAGTTCAACAAGTTGATCTACCAACTTTTTATCGGGTTTATCCGATCGTAAAAAAATGATTCAACTCAACTGAATTTTAATTTTCTTTTAGGCTGATTTTATTTTTCTTAGTATAGCTAGCGGCTATACGAAATTTCTTCGAATCATGTTTATATCAACTCCATATACAGTTGTTAGGTTTAGCGTAAAATCATAAAACTAACAAATTGATGCTTAAAAAATTGCTTATTGAAAGATTAATTGTACAACAACACATATTTATGACAACAAACTTCTTTGTTGCTATAAGAATTTTCTAGTCTTGTTTTGGAAAATGTACAAGTAAAACAAAACTACGATGCAAGGGAAAGAGTTCAGTGGCCTCTAGGGTGTTGTACACAATCAGTACATCATTACAGGGTTCTGGCATTGATAGTATTGCTCTCACGTTGGTATCCCTAAACCAATGACTATACAACTCTTAAGTAGTAAGTGGTAAAAAGTGGCCATAAACCTTTGGAAACTTTATTTAAGAAAACTAAAGCATCGGTTCCTTTAAGGCTACAAAGAATGAAGTTAAAGGTACAAAGGTATGACCATGACCTAAATGTGTTGTATAAACCTGGTAGGTTCATGTATATAGCAGATACATTATCAAGAGCTCCTTTGAATGTAGTTAGTAAGGAAATAAATTATTTAGATATTGACATAATTTGTGATGTTAACTTGTTCAACTATAATTTTCCAATATCTGAAACTAAACTTAAGTTTTAATGATGAAACTGAAATAGTCAGGTGTCTTAAGTACAGTGAAAATGTTCATCAGGTTGGATAAAAAATCCTAAGAGGTTAACTTTTTTGAGTAAAATGTATTTTATGTTAAGTAATCTTGTATAAATAGTTTAGTAAAAAGATGTTTTTCAAAGATTAATTTTGTTTTACAATGCTGTATCTTGATGTTATAAAACAAGTTTTGTTACTCTATGTGGCTTTGGAGAATCGATGCAGGAGCTTCTCTACCTAAAATGAACTTTTACACAAAACGGACGAAGTATGTTACTCATATTGATATTCAATAATAATAAAGTTTGAATTTTACTAGTGTATAAAATTTTATTTTGGTAAAACCAAGAGTCGGTATTGAGCACCTGACAAGCAATCATTGTAATTTATCACCAATGTAATTGGACAGCAAAATTAGGAACATTCAGAGATCCAACTGTAAGCGAATGGCTAGGCTCAGTTTTTCTTTTCCATGGAACTTATATATACTGTAGTTTTTGGATCATGTCTGGTAAGATTTTATCCATATCTTTTTGATAGCTGTAACAAAAATGTGTAATTCAATAAAATTTTCTTTTTAAGCAATTTTTTTTTTTAAAAGGGTGAAAGCTGTAGGTTTTATGGTAAGATATTGACCCCGTACCGATTTTAATTTTCGTTTTGATGTCCACCGGTTGCCAAAAAATCACCCGTTAAAATGTTTATTGATATGTTATTTCCTGCTTAAACTGTTGTTTATGTCAACAATGCTTTAATATGCAATCTTTATGGTTTTAGCAAATTTCTCTATAAGGAAGTAATATTACGGAGGTAGATTTCATAGGCATATATGTATATATATATATATATGTATTGCATCATATGTGTGTGTGTGTGTGTGTGTTTGTAAGTAAACGCGAAAACTTGAGTAATTTTTTCCGACAGAATTTGGTGTGAAGGTGTAAGGCGGGATAAACTTTAATGAGTTCAAAATCAAAATAAAATCAAAATAAAATCAAAACAAAATATTTTTGCTTTCCTGCAGTACCCTATGTAGTGCAATTATTTTTTACCTGTTGACTATGTAAGTTTTTCAACAAAATTAATTTACGCGTATGATTTGAAAATTTAATCGTATGATTTAGTATTTTCATACATGCATCAGTGCCTCATATGATCTTTACTTGGTAGTCTTAAAAGTTAGCCTAGCTTAAGAGAAAATTATGTTTTCAAACTAAGAGGTCCAATAAAATGTTGTCCCGGGAATAAAAGGTGGATGTGTAACTTTTTTACACAACAAATTTCAAGATCAAATGTTTCTCTTCAGTTTCCTCTCTGGTTCAAAGCTCGAGGACAGCAGCTAGTGATTGTAAACACAAGTACCCTCTTTTCAATTATAAAATCATAAAGTTTGAACGAATAGTTTTTTGGCCTCTGGGGACATAAAAAATTTTAAAAAATCAGTCCCGGGTTTAGGTCTTACCGTGCCACCTACGGTAATAGCTACCGGTACTTCCCTACAAGGAAATTCGCTGAAAAGTTATTAATGAGCCATTCACAGTGGATGATGCTATGTATTCTCTATCCCTTAGTTTTGTTACTGAAATAGTTGACTAGACATAAAATGAACATTTAGGATCCCCATTTTATTCTTTAGAGAAAAATAAAACTATTATAGTTCGCTTCTTTGTGGCTGTATGTTGATCAAATTTGGGAGTTGATCAACATACCCCTCAAAACGAATGCTGGATCTGAAATGGACGTATATTGTTGTGAAATAGACGTATATTGTTGTGAAATGGACATATATTGTTGTGAAATGGACGTATATTTTTGTGAAATGGACGCATATTGTTGTGAAATGGACGTATATTGTTGTGAAATGGACGTATATTGTTTCAGATACTTCAGATCAGCGCTTTTGGGAAGTCTGGTAAAGCGGAAGTCAAAGGCAACGGTAAAACTACACAAACTGTGTTAATCTCATAAACTTGGCAATTAGGCACAAAATAACTACTACTTTGATTAATAAGTTACTTCGTTATATTTCACATTTGAAAGAAGGTTTAAGTTTGACCTACACATGCTTGCAAAATGATTTGACTTTGCATTTAATACAGATCTTACCCAAAGCTGGACATTGTTTTTTTCCATGACAACTACCACATCTGTAACATTTAAAACATCTTTTCTAAAAAGTTTCTCTTGGAAATTTTTATAACTTAGCCCCAGTATTATCTGAGCTCTCGCAGTTTTTCCTCCTGTTCTTCAAACTTAAATGGTTTGACTAAATTTTTTAGGTCCGAATAGAATTTATAAATGGTTAATCTTGTTGCTGCTTCCTTTTGAAAAACTTGTAATTATCCATGGTTTCATTCTTTCTTGGTGTGTAATACTTTAGTGTTTCTAATGTTTTAACTATTTCTGGATCTTCATTATTTTGTTTGAAATCTTTATATATTTTCAAGGCTTCCTTTCCTAGGAGATTCTTAAGTTTTGCTGCTTGCATTGAATTAGGCTTCTTTTCAGTTCCAGTAGCTAGGAAGTATATTTCCACTTCTTCTTTAAAAGTCCAAAAATTTTCCTCCAAGTTGGCTTCTACGCTTAGGACATCGGGTTAGTTAAATTCCATTACTGTGTATCTTGTATACTATTCTTCAGTTATTATTCTTTATTATTCTTAATAAAAATTTTTTCGACTGCGCCAAGTTTAATAAAAAAAAAACCTCTTTAAAAATTTTTTTTTTATTTCAACCCAAACTGTTTACAATTCAAAATTCTAACTTAATTATTATCAAAAACATAATATTTTAAACAAAATATATTACACAAAGATTGTAAGTCAATATATAAATTAAGTAACATACAAACGTAATAATAATAACAAATAACAACAATAATAACAAATAATAATAATAACAAAAGTAATATAGAAGACAAGGGTGATTCTTCTTCACTGCCTAGTCCAATGCAAACTTCTGGTGGATTAAGCGCTTGTTCTTGATGTAAATTGATTTTATCAATGTCCAAATCACAAGGCAAATTACTTCATACTTCTTCCCTTCTTCTTTGACCAGTCCATATACTGGAGATGGCGTCAATAACACTCTTAAAACTAATAAGTAGAACTGAACAAAACAAATATTTAAGACTGTACCCTATTTACACATTTTGGATCATGTTTGGCGGCAGGTCTTTACAGAGCTAGGTCTTAGATACTCAACGGATGCGATTTTTCCCAGTTGGAACACATAAGGCTCCGTCCAAACTCTATGGTTCACATTAAGTCTGTAACATCAATGAATTAATTGCCGTTTTTTATACATAATACTGAACTATTGATACTGATACTGTGTTCAGTGTGATAAGTAAACAATTGAAAGATGATTCAAAGGTTTGAACTTTATCTTACATTATAAGAAAAGCATACTGTCACTTCTTTTGATGTAATACAGCATAGAAATCTATGGTAGAATGAAAATGTTAACTCAAGAAAAAGTAAACAGATAAATAAAAAAAATCTTTTTAACAGCTGACGTATCTTAATTTTTTTTATGTAATGATATGCAGCTCTGACATTCTTGCCCTTGCAAGGGTTTATACAAGAATTGCAATTTTTCGGGGCAAGTTTCACGTCAATAATTTTCATTCAAGTTTGCGGCTGTGTGCCTATTATGGCTTTCCAAAAAGTTCAGATACTTCTAAGCACTGTATACATTTTCATGTATAATTCATGAATATACTTCTAGAATGTATAATTTTCATGTACTGTATTGTGCATTATTTTGTAATGTTATATATTCAATGGGAGAAAATAAATACTAATATACTTATTTTTATATTTCAGTCCTGTTCCAAGTGCAATTACCTAATGTTTTATACCAATCCATCCCTAAGTTCACCAAAGATGATACGAAAGATCGTATAACGCAACATGAAATAAAATTGGTGTCAGACAAAAAATTGCTTGTTAAATGCGTAGAAGATGACTATGAAGCGGAGGCATACATATTCAGTCCAGGAGATCACTATCACTTGATAGACAGGTTGAAGCTATTTCCCAGGAAAGACGTTTGCAAACAAATGAATCGTTTTGACACTGATTTTTTTGAACAGCCGATACTGTATGAATCATACGGACATGATAAGTTAATGTTCACCATGTCGTACAAGTTTAATGGGGAGGAAGATCAGTGCCTCAAAAGACGGTACCTTTTCTCAACTTTTCTTTACTATGCCAAATTTGAAAGAGGACCGGTAGAACTGACAGATTGCAAGAAGGTAAGTTTAAACATTATACGTTATATTGAAAAAATGAAGATTAACGAAAACAACTGGCCAAATGAAGTCACGGACATATATGGGTCGTGGTTACGAGTTTATTGTTGAAATATTGTTTTTATTCAAAGACTCCTGGCTTTCCGTAAAGAATATTTATTTCCAGTCAAAAATGTTAACTTTGGTCACCTTTTTAAAATTGTAAATACATTTTATATTTAAAATCCATGTTATGAGCAGGCTGTTGACTTGTGTTTTATACACAAGGGGTGTAAACTTTGAGTAATTGCTGATTTAGATAAAAGATGATACAAATGAAGAAGGAAATATCTAAGAGAGGATAAGACCAACTCAATATAATAGCAAAACATAATATATTATAGTATTCGGACGAAAGATTCTCATTCAAGTTTTACTTTTTCAGAGTTTTGCGGAATATTTAACAAATCATGGTAAGTATTTACAATAAGGATTACAATACAGAGTCAATACCTCTAGATTTATATATTGTCTACTGTTGGTGGGATACGAATAAGTTACTACATTGTTTGTTATAGTTATTTAATACATTATTTTTTCTTATACTTTTTCTTTGTTTTTTAGAAATTTTGTTATCATCGGGATCTTTTGGAATCATGGATTTTAACAAAAATATGTATTCTGTTGGGGAACCTTCCATTCACACTTTTAATGTACCAAACTTGAAACTCAGGTGCCAGATGTACACCAAGAAAACTAAGAGCGGCCCGATTGAAGATTCCACAGAAGCAATAGGATATATTATATACGAGGATACAAAACTTAAACAGGATATGATAATAGAAAAGCTACGTCTAGACTCTTGTGAAGCCGGAGTTAATGGAATGTACATCAAAGAAGGCATTACCTCTTTAAACACGAGGGAATTCACACTTGTGTTTAAAACGACAGACGGACAATGCTATAGGAGCCACCTTACCTATGAACCACTTAGAGATAAATTAAAAGTTGGTCGATCCGCTCCTGACAGAGTCAATTGTCCAGATGTTTGGACGAGTGACGCTGCCTTGGCTACAAAGCCACCATTGTACATACGATTTTTGAAATTCCTTGGCAATCTTTCGAGGAAGTTTAGGCAGCTTTTGAAACTGTGAGTTCTGAAGATCAGTAATCTACCAAATAAACTACTTGTTGACTTATTAATGACTTATTTAACCTTAGGACCTGAGATGGTAAATTCCTCTGGGACAATCTGTTGGTAGTTACTTTCCTTGTGTCAAACTGTGGTGGTTTACGCGTTACTAAACCATCGTAAAGAGCTATACTAAAATCTGTTCTCAAATGAATATTCAACATTTCAAGGATTTATATATGATCGCATCGAGGAAGAATTCGTAATAGTTTAAGGAAAATCATAGTTTTAGGTAGCTTTAAGGGTTTCTTTAATTGGTACTTTCGAATGAATACATGTTTGTAATATCAAATGAGATGAGTACTGAGTTATTAGGAGTTTGTACATCTTTGATATTGTTTATCAACTCATAGTTGTTCAATAAACTATAGTTATTTCCAAATGTCATGTAGCCCTTCAGTTTGTAATTAGAAATTTTGCAAGTTCATAGCATGGTGCATTACTGTAATTAACCACAGGTCGTATTGGTATGTTTAATTTATGCGTTTTTAGTATACCTTATATATATATATATTAATTTGAAAGGATGGTGATTTTGGCCTCTGGGGACCTCAAAACGAAAAAGTAAATCAGTCCCGGGTCTAGGTCTTACCATGAGACCTACGGTAATAGCTTATTCCCTATATGGGAAATTCGCTAAAAACGTGTATAGTATTTGAATTTTTAAATTCTTTAACTCATTTTTTTACGTGACCGAAGCCATATAAAATGCAGAAACGTCTGGATTATCTTTGTGTTGCTACTTCAAAAGCTTTTTGGGTGCGTTTTTCAGCTAAATATAAGTACAGAATGAGTGTATAATCTAATAGAGTGAGAAGCGTTTTGCAGATGTTTACTAACTAAAATCAGCTGATAATCCAGTAGGTCATTAAACACCCTGATCATGTACAGTTGAGAACACTTTTGATCAAAAAGCTACAGTAGCAGTCTTGCCGATTTGACTTTGTATTTTTTTCAATTTTCTTTCTTCTCTTCATAGAGTAATTATTTCCAATGAAATACATGTATTAAAAATATTTCACGAAAAGCGAAAAACATGCTCTATTTATATACAACATTTTCCACTTTCTAATTCATAAAACACCTTACTGGCTAAAAAAAATAATTACAAAATAAATTGCCGAATTGCTAATCAATTTACAATTTCCCAATTCACATTATATTTACGAATTCACACGATTAAATTAAGAAACACGATTTTGAAACGGTATTCATCTATTGACAGCTATTTAATTTGTCCCAAGAATTACTTAGGAATAAAATATCAGTATCTCTAGCCTGTAAAAGAGCACTTTCAAGAATAACCCTATGTTTGATTAGCTATGTAAGCAATAAGATATCGCTTCAGTCCTGACAACTGATGTTGTAAGGCCTTCACCTCCTTTTTCGATAAAAGTTAATCTGCAATCAATACAGAACCACCACTGATAAGAACAGTCTACTTACAAGTCTGCATTTAAAATGCCTACCTACACCAGCAATGTTTTGAACTGGAAACTTGGGAAAGTGGTTATTGTTTGGCATTTTGTGAATGATCTTCAATAAGTCTAAATTTTATGTGAAGCCGAGTAAAAGTGGTCGCCTTTTCTGAAAGTCGCTGGTTCGACTTTCAAAAGAGATTGATTCTGGTACGGTAACAGATGCTATTTGATTTTTTTTTAACAAGGATCCTGCCTGGAATTGGGTTTCACATTACTTCAGGCTAGACCTAGAGGTTGCAGTACTATCGCTAATAAAATCCATTCGTGATTGGTGGGATTTGAACCTAGGACCTTGTGGACCGAAGTCTCACCACAAGACTAGCTTGTTCCCCTATTGACAAATTGAGCTATGAATCAACTATTAACTATTTTTGGGCTGCTTGTAAAAAACTTAATTATTAATGGTACAGTAATATGTAAAATAAATTCCTCACCCTAAAATCCGTCTTGTTAAAACCGTCTATGTTAAAATCTCTCGATCTTACTGTTAGACAGTATCATTAATCGATAATCCGATTTATTAATGAAAAATCACCCAGAATTATCCCTGAAACGGAATGGCAGGTCCGCGTTAAGGGTCAGTGGAGCCCTGGGTAAACCCAAAAGCAGCGCCCCCTTTTTCCTAGTGCGGGCAAGCGGTGGTTGGGGGGCACTCGGTGGGGGCCCCCAAACCTCCAGCGCCCCTGGGCATATGCCCAGTCTGCCCGTTTATAAAAGTGGGCCTGGGAATGGAACCAAAACCTGACTACACCTTACCTAACTTATTACTTACCTTACCTAACATTATTACCAACCTGCAGTAATTTTTTTTATCAACATTACCAAGGAAATAACATGGGACTCAAAAAAAAATATTGATGTAGTTGAAATGACTAGCATAATTTATTTTCATATTTTAATATACTAACACAAAGTTTAACAATACCAACATAGCATCTTTGTTAGAATCATGCCTTACCCAATCTAAGAACGATACTATACACATAATTCAACTCTATTTGATTCAACTTAACAATAACAGTTTATTTGTTCTTTAAACACGCCTTGAGAAAAATGGTGCAACCTTCCTAATGTGAATAAATAATACTATACAATTCAGTGAAATATATTTACGAACAGGTAAATAGGCATGGCAAGACTAGTAACAAAAGCCTAAACTCCGAAATCGATGTTCTATAGTAACACATTGGTTTTAACTGGACAATATATTTTTTTGTAATAAACTACTCAAAATATTTACATACGATAACAGTCTGCTAGCAATCATAAAGTTTTAGTTTATATTTAACGTAACTAAATTTTTTGTAAGCAATTTTATCTATGAACAATTTCTGGTAATTGAACTTTGTGTATTACTAAAATACAGGGTTCAAACTTCAGAGTCATCTTTTGTGAATGTGTTCCTTAGATATAGACAAACATTTGCTTGGAAATTTTAGATAAATATAGTTCAGACCATAGACATTCTTGGTAAAATATATTATTTAACTAAGAATCTGCTATTACTTACAATCTTTAAATACTCACTGTATATAATTTAATTAAATCTAGTGTCAATATTATGTTTGTCTAAATACAAGGAACCAGGAAAGTTCTGGAACACGCTTTATAAAATCCATACAATATTACCTCAAGGTTTTGTATTGTATGATTACCTACAGAATAAGTACTTAAAAAACGTACAAGAATGTTTTAATAGTTAACAAAATACATAGACCCCTCTAAAGTTTGTAAAAACAAACAGTAAAATTAATGTAATACTAAAGCAACTACGGATAAATAAATGCTCAAAAAAATAAAATCTTGTAAATAAACAAATGACAACTCTATAATAATTTTTTAACTTTAACATTTTTTATTTTTAAAACAAAAATACTCTACACACATTCAGATTGACTGGGCAAAACAATTTTTATGATTGCATTTTATATAGTATATCATTCATAAATAAATTTTTACCAACCCAGGCTCTCTAAAATATCTACTAAGGCAAAAATCGAATGAGAGTCTATGTACAATGAGACCACGAAAAGACAAGTTTCACAAGTAATCCACGGAACACAGACACCAAGCTCTAAAACTCTAGTATTGAAGCGAATATAAAATATTAATACTTCAAAGAGAACTGCATCTAGCTTAACTAGTCACCGAGAGCATTAAAATGTTGAGAATCTACAGGCCAAATGATTTTTTTCTACGAACGGAAACTTATTGTATGATTTCAGTGGTGTAGCCAGCTCGGAATTTTGGGAACATTGACAATGGTTTGGGGTTGGCTAAAGGGAGGTTGGAGGCCCTCCTCACGTAAATTTTAAATCTCTTCTAAAACTCAGGTTAAAAAATTTCAAATTACATTCAATGATGTTATTAACTTTTACTGATATATTATTTTGCTAAACACTTATGTTTCTTACTTTAATTGGAGGGCCCTCTTAACTTCCCTGGCTATGCCACTGATTTTTATTGCTTGTAAATGTCTGAACAACACACATTGATAAATAAAATAGTTTCAACCCAACACTATCTAGTATATATTTTTTAAATCGCTTAATTAATTACATTAAATAAAAGTAACCATGCATTTTTTATTTCTAAAAATTATTTTGGTTACTGACCACCAGACGAGTAAGTACTAAAACTTAAACATAAAAAACACAAATTTTAACGGTGAAAAAATTAAAATAAATATGTGTATATTTTTCTAAAAGGAACAATGGAGTAATTAGTACGAATACAAGTAGAAGTTATGTTATTCGTAAAGGGGAGTTTTATATAATTAGGGGGGATATGGAAAATTGGGGGAGAGGTACTAAATATTCTTCGTCAGAATATTTCCAAAGGTAACACAAACAAATTACAAACTATTATTTGAAGTCAAACGTTTGGTTGTAAAAGTTATCCTCTTTCCTAAAAACTATTCGCATTTTAATAGTAATAAGGTTTGCATACTGACGTTCTGACACTGCCTACGACCTTCTCACATAATTAGAAGCTAATCTACCGGAAATCCTGAAAGATGTAATTCCAAGAATTGCGCCAAAGCGATTCTCACACTAGTTGTATGTAATGATAACATTATCACTTTATGCTTTAAATTCTGCCAAGAACTATTATTTGGCAATACTATAACAAGCAGAAGACATAATTTTATTCAAATTAAGAAGGATTCTTTATTTCACTATATAATAATAGAACCATAGCATCAATCGGATGTATTTTTTTTTGTTTTAAAAAGTAAAGAAATGTTTTTACACCTTTTTAGGTCCTAAAGAGGTAGAAATGAGAGTAAAAGTTCCCAAAATTTGGGTTGATAAAGGCTAAACTGGTTTTAGTAAAAATAATACTAAGGACCTTAGAGCAAAAGTGATGTTTTAAGTAATACTACAAATCCAAGTTCTTTGGTTTTGTGTCACAAAAATCCTATTATCTGTAATTAATCACAAAAAAAACAAAAAACCTGGAAAAACACGAATTGATGTCCAATTGTATTTTGAGTCCAAAATATTCCAGACATA